CTGGAACTGAGCCCTGTATCCTCTGGGGGGTCATCAGGGTCACTTACTGTAAACAGATCTTCGTGGGCATCAGCAAATCCCCTGGCTGGAGCGTGTGCTCTTTACCATTCTGTAATTTTCTATTTCACATACACACAAACACATACAAGGCAGGCAGGCAAATAAACACGCCCACTCATGCATTCACACATATTTCTTATCTGCTGGACAGAGGCTTTAGTCGCTCTCTCTGTGCACACTGTCACAGAGTTTCTCTCTCCCTCTCTTTCGCTACCCCTTTCCCTGACAGCGGGGCCTCCCGCTTGCTTTACCGTTTCCAGGAAGCGGGTAAAACCAGTCTTGAGTTTCCCTCCCCACCGTTCCAAGCTTCCAGGTGGAGAAAATAGACTCTGCAGTCGCCCTTGTCCAAATCTGTCCCCACGTTGGAGTGGAAAACAAACAGTAGAGCTGCCTGAAAGGTCCAAGGGGACATGCGAACCTGCCGGTTATTTTAACAGAGCCCAAGACGAGAAATAAAGGGTTAAACTTTTGAAGCGCCGCTGCATTTCTCACAGTTGACCTTCTCTCGCTGTTTTCATTCATTTATCATTTCTTCAACTTATTGCTTGTCGCCAGAAAAATAACAATAAGCTTGCCACTCTGACAAGCTTCCACTTGCAGCTGGTCTGGAGATGCAAAACTCTCTGATGGTTTAGTTATTTTTCAACATTTCCATTTGCTCCTCATGTTGTAAACTGTTTCTTTTTTTCCTTTTTTTTTAAATGAAGCTTGTAAGGATTCCTAGAAGGAGAGGCGTGGCTATTTGCTTCATAGAAACCATCAATCATGTGGCAGTTCTGTCAATTTCCTCTTCCTTTCTTACAAATAGCTGCACTCCTGACCCACAATAGCTGTAAGTAGCACGCAGTAGACACATTTACAGCACTTAAATGACATACTTTACCAACATTGTCCAGCATTTTAAAAAGACAACTGTCATAACCGCAACACAAAACTATATATTTTAGGGATTGGGTGTGTGACAACCATTAATTATCAATCACCTCTCCTCTCACTGCAAGACTGAAGCAACTTGATTATAACCTCTCTTTTTTTCCCAAGGATGAAGGTTTTATTCAACGTTTTCTCATCGCTTTTAAGGTTACATTGAAAGTATTTTTGTCTTACTGCCAGGCAAAGAAAACAACAATTTCTACAAAAGTCCTTCTAAACTTCCCACACAACAGCTTTCTACCACTTTGGCAGGTCTTTCAGTGAGCAGAGTTTTGGCTCGTCTCCCATTTGTGTGATAGTTGTTTGCTGAGTTTCAGGAAGGCTCACTTTGCCAGCAGGCCTGAAACAATAGAGCACGGTTTTCTCAGCTTGTTGCTGCTCGGTGTAGGCCTTCGACTGCAAGAGCAAGAGGGAAACTCCAGACTTGCCACCTCCTGCTTCTCCTCCTCCCCCTTCTTCTTCTTCGTCTCCTTCTTCTTCTTCTTCTCCTCCTCCTGTTTCCCCTCCCTCTCTCCCCTCTGTGATGACTCAGAGAAATGTGCTTGGCTTTGCTCCCGTTGCCAGAGTGCAAACCAAGGTTCGATGAAAACGGAGTGAAATCGACAGAGGATTCCTTTACAAGAATTTGGCTGCACTGCTGCCTTAAGCTTTGTCAGATGTATCGAGTTCGATAAGTGCAATAAAAGGAGAAAGATCTGTTGAACGCAGACCAAATGGATTCATGTTTCATAACTTATTCATACATGTTTGTGTGCTGTGCTGTTGTGCTGGAAGCGGCTGCAGGCATCCAGTTGCTGCCAAGCACAGTTAGAAAAATCATAGCATTTTTAATCCTGTGAGTTCTCAAGGAGACAAAAAAATACTGATATAATTTAAGTCAGGCTAATGTATTCTGTCAGTTTTTACTGTAACAGACCGAAACTGAAATCCTTTCTGACACTGTTTTTAAAATATCTGTTTTCTTTTCCTTTTGTAAAAGGACCTTTGGCTTGAAAAAACACACCGAAGAGAGTGATTTCAGATCAATTATGATTGACTATAGGATAGTAAGTGTTACCAAATAGGTGGTATTTTTAAAAAGAGCTGTTACCTTATTTTTCTGTACGCTTTCTTGACTTTATCCTTATTTTAAATCATTTTGATTTCCAGTTTTATCATTTGAGTGGTTTGCAGGACACGTGGAAGAAGGCTGTTTCAAACAGTCACCCTCATATGACATTTGTGTGTGTGTGTGTGTTTAAAAGCCAGGATTCCTTTGAAGCTATTAAAATGTTGCAGAAACCAAATAACAGAGTGCAGAATTTCCCTCACACATTTTATTCTCTTAAAGAAAATTCATTGCTGACTAAAAAATTGTAAGCAGGATTATTTAGACTGGTTAAATTAACGGTCTGGTATTCGGGGAATGATTTTGAAATAGAAATAGAAATTTGTGTTCATTTTGTAATATATTAAGGTCTACTGTAAAATTACATTTTAAAATTACAGCAAAATAACATTTAAATCATTACAGGGAGGTTTTTATGGGTCTTCTTTTCTCCTGTAAAATACATTTATATATTATTAAAGTGTTTTTTATAAACCTGATCTGACACGATGTTCACATCACAGGTTCATAACTAACAACATCAAATTCTCACATTAGCAATATAACTTATTTATTATTATTCCTTTTTGTCTGTTTGTACAAAATTATTATATTATTTATAGTACAAATAAAATGCATAGTAACAGCTACAATGCTGATTATCAGTCTCAACTTTTTAATATATTTAAAAAATTGTATTTATACATATGTAAAGCAGACCCTTTCTCATCAGTTCTCATCAATGTGAAATCTTAGCTTATCTCAGCTGCCTATTTTACAACAAATAATGTGTTTGTTTTAAATATATTACATATATTATATTGTAATATTTTTACAAACAACTACAGATAATAAATGTATGTTCTTAGACTATTATGTAGGAAGAATATTCATATTTAAAATCATAATAGTTAAAGAAAAAAAGTGTCTGTCAGGCTGGTAAGTATTTAACCTCCTAGGACCTGGCGTCCACTTATGTGGACATCACATTTTGGGTTATTTAGACCAAAATACTCAATTTTGTTCTACAAGGGCCTGATATCCACTTACGAGGACATTATACTGCTACTGTTCTATCAAAATTTTAAACGAATATCCTCATATGTGGCTCTGATTTTTCATAAAAACAAAAATAAGGTAAAAAAAAAAATCTGGTAATTCTTTGGGGCCTAATGAATGTAAAAACAATCAGCCCAGATATCAAATAGAAATAAAAAATGCATGCCGTGGAAGAGTTTGGGTCTTAGGAGGTTAAACAAATAATTTGAAGACTTTTTTTTTTCCAGCGAATGACTCACAAATAGTTTTCTGGATGACTTTTTATTCTTGTTGTTTCTTGTCCGACCACTTTGCTTCTTCACTGAAGTTTTACATGCCATGGCTAATCTGCAGTTCTCATCCTTAAAATGGCAGCTTTGGGATTTCTGTCCAGTCGGCCTTCCAGATTTATCTTTCCGTGCCAATGGAGCTCAACAACAGTGTGCTGAAACTAGTGTGAAGGTATATATCTTGAACACTTGGCTGTGTGTGATTTGTTTAATTTTTATTTACTTTTTGCAGAAGTATTTGTCACTGACCTCTATTATTTTCCTCCTTCCTTCTTAAATTTCTCCACTGTTATTCTCCATTTGAAAATTCAGCACACATTTGCCTTTCACGAAAGTAATTTGTAGATTATTTCTGTTTTGGCTGTCTTTGTCCTTCTTTATCTTTAAATCTGTTTTTCTTTATAGTTAATATTTCTTTCTTTATTTGTCACTCACCTCTGTGAGGAAGAGATCTCACACAACACATCCAAAGTCCCCCGACAGTTCCTGTCAGGAATATCAATGCGTTGTCACAAACATCCCTGTTGGGAGGGCCTGATATTATTCAACTTTGTGAATAAGAAATTTGGACCAAAACCCCAAGACAGATGGTTAAACGTGACAATAATAACACATCAGATTTTCTTGGCAGTCCTTTATACTGTGTTAGATTAAACTGTTGGCGTTCATACATTCAGCCAAATACAATAGTTGCTCCAAAGCACTGTAGAGGGGTCCCCCAGGGTTTGTATGTTGGCCTTGTGCAGTTTCTTCTCTGGAACAGCATCTGCTTTGTTCACTTCTCTGAAGTAGCATCCCTCAGATCACATATCTCACCACTATACTGATCTTAATAGCTTGAGCCTACGGCCCTCTGATACACACAAACACCCGCAGAGACACTATCACCGAAGCTCAGTTGGTCACTCTCTCACGAAGGGCACACAGACACAGATAATCGAATAGGTTGTGCAACACCGGTGATAAATCTGTTGAAAGAAATGGCCTACTGTAAAGGAAAGAGCGAGATCTCCCAGCTAGGGTGCTGGATAAATGTGTGTACGTGACAAAGAGAATAAGTTGCTGACTTAGGTGTTTACTTAGCACCCTATTTACTTTACGATTACACACAAGAGTACAGCATCCATACAGTAAGTCTGTATGTCTGTGAATGTGTACTCCAGTACATGTGCGTGTTCTGCAGGAATTGATCCTTTACGATACACCGATTATACGCTGAATTGACTTGGTTTATTTGTTATTTGTATGCTTAGAACTGTTCTGTGTGTGTGCCTATAAAGTTGCATGTGTGTGCAAGTATTAATGCATGTGTGTGCCTGCACAGGGAGAGAGGTTTTACATGGTCAGTGGTGTTGCTGCTAGAAGTCTATGGCTGTGCTGGAGAGCCAGATTGTGTGAGTGTAGTGTATGCGGGTGGTCACATGTGTGTTTGTGTGTGTATGCATTGCGTGGAGAGAAGCTGAGTGACAGGTTTTTGTTTTTTTTTAAGCCTGCCACTGAGACTAGCATCAAACACCACCTCAACTCTTTGCCCTTCTCTAATCTCACACACATACACACAGTGTGCTCAAACTCACACATGTGCGCACACACACACACACACACACTCCTGTTACAGCTCAGACTCCCTTTTACATCCCTGAGAGCTACACTGAGATCTTTTAAATACAAGAATAAAAATAACAACAACGAAAAAAGATCCGACACTCCTTCTGCAGGTATTTTACTCTCTCTTCACAGCAGTCAGTTCATCTGTCTGATGCATCTGTTCAACAAAGGAGACACGCACACACACACACACACACACACACACAGAGGGTGGTTTGTCAGTTATCTGATGTAATCTGTTGTACAATGTTGGGCAACAATTATTTGATCATTTGTAAGTTTGCTCAATTAGAAAGAATGAACAGTCTCTAATTTGTAAGGTATTTGCATTTTAATGGAGAGAGACAGAATATCAACAAAGAAGCACACAGTTACATAAAAGTTAGAAATTGATGTGCATTTTATTGTGTGAAAAAATATTTGATCTCCTACCAACCAACAAAGACTCTGGATCAGATTCAGTTTCTTCCCTTCCACAATCATGGGCAAGGCCAAAGAGTGGTCAAAGGACGTCAGGGACAAAACCGTAGACCTGCACAAGGTTTGAATGGGATACAAGATCATCAGAAAGCAGCTTGGCCAGATGGTGACAGCCATTGGTGCGATTATTTGGAAATGGAACAAATATAAAACAACCATCAATCACCCTCAATCTGGAGATTGTAAGATTGTACAGGACAACTTCACCACATTGAGCCAATGGACAATAAATTTTTGGAAAAGAACTTCCTTTCTGGGTGGTGGGTGGGTCTTTCAGCATCACGATGACCCAAAACATGTAATCAAGGCAACAAAGGAGTGGCTAGAAGCACATTAAGCTACAGACCTCAATCCTATAAAAAATCACCAAAATGGCGCCTGAGATGTGTGCAAACCTGGTATCCAACTACAAGAAATTTCTTACCGCTGTGCTTGCCAGCTAGAGTTTCTCCACCAAGTACTAAGTCATGATTTACTTGCGGATCAAGTACTTCAATTTATAACTTTTAATGTAGTATGTTTTTAAAAAAAAAACTTAACTCAGCAGGGGATTAAATAACTATTTCCCTCACTGTAGATTAAAACATTTAGTATAATAAGACCAAAGAACTACCATTAAGTAGTTAGTCTAGACAAAGTAAAAATAAAATGAAATAATTGCCTGAGTAAACATCCTATAATTAAACAAACACAAGTAAAAACAGACTCGTGCATATTTAGACGATTGCTAATGTTTGAGGTGTGTCTGAACTGAAGGCCTTGGTGCATATGACCTAGTTTACTTGATGCCATAGATCTCAAACAGGATGTTGAAAGTAAGAAAGACTGTCTTTGGTTAAAATATGTGTCAGGGAAATTCCTTTGTGACTCACACTGAGTTGGTGTTGGTTTATTATAAATTGGTTTGGTAAAATACTACCCTCTGGTCTCCTTAGTTGTATTAGATTTCTGGGCAAGGCGGGAGGGGTGGATGAGAGGGATGGAGAGTGGGCTTGGGTGTGGGGAAGACAGGTTGTCACCCCTGCCCTTTTATATTGAGATACAGTCTGGCTGATGACACTGACTCATCCTTGCTTTCCAAGCTCTCTTCTTTCCTCTTAGTAACCTCCGTCATGGCTTCTGTTCTCACCACACCCAGCGGTGCACATGCCACAAAGTGTGCTGCAGGTCTACACAATCCCCATTAGGCGTTTTTGTTGGAGTTTTTTTCTTTCTTTTTTTTAAATCTGGGTCAGGAGCCAAATGAGAGTAATGCGAATAGGAAAAAATGCCTCTCAACAATGTCTATTATTACTATTGCCTTTTCTTTTTTAACAGAGACTCAAAGTCTTCCTGTATTCATCCTATGTAAGGACAAAATACACCATTGCCTGTAGATATGTCCTTTTACATGCTAAGTGAGGGAATTGCATCAGTTCTCCACATGATGTAACCCATGCTGCAGATAGGCAAACATAATAGTCTGAAAAATCTGGGCTCACAAAGAAAAACATGTTGGAAATATGAACTATCAACCACGCAGCTGACAGTTCCTTTTTCTTTTTTTAATTCAGTGCTGGTCTGCCTTAGTACAGTTTAGAGACATGGGATCCCGAGGTAATAGCGATACGCCGGCTTTACAACTTTTGGCTTTTTAGCAGTGTTAGCAGATTAATGAACAGCAGTGTTGGTGTGTTAGTCTTCCTATTGTCGGTGAAAAACTTCAGTCCAAATTAAAACATATCAAGACTGATTTCTGAGAAATTTTCTGGTTTGGTGACCACTTCAGGCACGAACATGAGGTTCATATTTGTGGTTCTAAAGAAGATGTCTCAGCAACTTTAACTTTAGCCTCTAAACCAGTCACCAGTTTAAAATTTTAATTTGTCTACTGGCTTGGCTATTGGATGACTAAATACTGGCAAAGCAAATACACCTTCCCATCAGCCACAGCTGTACTTTGTTCAGTTCAAATAAGTAAATGTTAGCATGTTGATACATTGGATTAAGATGGTAAACAAGGCTTGTTGGCACTATCATGTTTAACACACTTTTCCCACCAAAAGACAAAATTTGATCTTTTGTGTTTCATATCAGAATTTACTCTCCTGCCAAAAATATATTACTAAAAAAACACTAAAATGAGATTTTACTGACTGTGATTTCTTGCAATTAAATGCAAGCCAAAAAGCAGAGGTTAGTCACCGCAGGCAGGAAACATCATGAAGTAAACTGTACTGACGTGCCACTCATATCCATAACTTTATAACCTTGATCATGATTGTGCCGCTTTGCATACGCTGGGAGTTAGCCAGAGTAAACATATATTTGGCTGTGCTGCCACAGCTCATTGAACTGAGTGAAATACCTGAAATAACTCTGAGTCACAACGAAATCACTAAAGCATGTCATGAGAATTTGGTCAGAAGCATTTTTAAACTTTAAGGACACTTTTTGAGCATGTTTATGGGAAGCATTTGGCACATGTAAAAGTTTTCTTTAGGAGTATACATGTATTCTAAGCAGCATGCAGCTAGGGAACATGCAGAGACAGTTAAACTCCTGAACTGGATGTCAGTAATGGAGGGTCTGTGTGTGTTTGGATAATTGCCTCATATTTCACAGGTAGGCATTTCCCCCCAGGGATAACTCCGGCCTTCCACGCCCCATCACCATAAGCACAATATCAACGCAAATGCGCTGAGTACTCTATTTGCTTTTCAACTGGGAACTTGACTCCCATGCTTTGAGCGAACAGTCATGACAGAAAGACGTTTTTCCAGTCAAATTAACTCAACTGGTAGATAAAAGAAAACACATTTCTAACTTTGCTCATTTCGTGCTTACATTCATGGACTTTCTAGTGTAAAATACATAGTATGTAATAATCTCAAAAATCAAGTCTGCAAATATTTTTCACTTGTTCTTATTTGCCAGGTTACCTGGCAAATTTCTGAAGAAAGGCTTCAGGTTTCTGAAGATTTTCTTCAGAAATCTTTGAACCACAGGTCACCAAAGGTCACACTACAAATGATCATGAGATCAAAAAACTGTGTGAAGCACCTCTCTATGAACTTATTCTAAACGAGGCACACACATACTAGCATATGACTTATACTTTGTTGCCTACACAGGGATTCCTCTTGTTAGTGTGAATACTGGCACAATGCCTGGAGAAAACATGTTTCATACATTTATGATAAACAAGTGTAAATACACTGGAGATCTTTAGAGAGTTCTTCAAACCAAAACCTCACCGAGTGAAGTTCAGAAAAGAAATTATTTATTTATGAGTTGATTCTATTGTTGGGTTGGATTTAGTTGTCAAACAGAAGTAATTTACTAAATCATTTGAATGCTATCATTACCTTTTTCTCACTAAACACTATCATTACTTTCATTACTTATTTTTGTACTTATACTTTCATAAGATGATACAGTAGTAATCACAATTACTGACTTATTTATGTATTGTTTTCATGTAATTGTATTCATTGTGTTTTGCATTGTAGTGCTTTATACTATTTACTATTACGTGTCTACACTATAGTATTGACTGGTCTGTTCTTGCCCTTGGAAAACTGATCACATTATAACATGTCGTGAATAATTCAACATTTGTGAATTTAAATTTGATGGTATTGTTGTGAACGTGAAACCACAGGATGCCTTAATAAGAGCTTACAGAGTGATAAGATTATTTTAGCCATTTGCTAAAATGACTGAAACCTTGGGTGGCCTAAAGCTACGTACACACTGGAAGTGAGTCGCTCATTGCGTTGCTTTGATGCTCACAGCTGGTGGCTTTTATACATTCCAGGCTCTGGTTGTCCTGGTAACCTTCTAAAGTCTTTACTACCAGGTCATAAGTCAATCATTGGTATTCTTCACTCTCATTGGTAGTTTCCTCAGTGGAAGTTGAGAAGTTTATCTTCCCAACTTCCCATCGCCAATGGATATTTATTTCTTCCGTTGTTACCATGTTACAGCAAATAACTTCCAGTGTGTACAAAGCTTAACACATACCCGTGTGCCACATTTGGTTGCTCCTGATAATCGAGGAGGGGTTTGCAGACAAAGACGTAAACAAACCAAGGCAGACAAACACAGATTATAGTAACACGGATATGGAAATGGATATCTCTAAGTGTATATGTTTTTAATGCAAAGTTCTATATTTTAGTTTCTGTCCACGGAATTTGTATTGAAAGATCTTCACTTGGTTTTTCAGACTGCTGGATCCTCACAGAGCTTCAGATAAAGGTTAAAATTTCTCAAGTAATTAAGTATGTTTACCATCTACCGTTGCTGCTTAATATAAAATCATTTTCCAAGACTTTATATTAACTTATGTGCAAGACTTTGATTTTATAATGAGATTTATATTTTCATCTTAGAATAATGCACATATTTTTTTTAAATGCTGTCTTGTCTAAGTTCCTGAATTCTTCAAGTTGACCTTTGGCATCTATGCCTAATGCACCCCTTTTTAGGCATGAGTTATACAGATCTGTCACTCCTAATCAATCACATCAGCATGCTTCTGAAGAACCCCTTGGCATCAAATTTAAATGCACTTGGTAAGAAATTATTTCTTTTAAACATGCAGGGTTAATATTGTGATGGGGCATACATTAACTTAACCCTAACCAGCATGTAAATGCAACATTACAAAGTGAGAAAAAAATCACTGAAGCAAAATTCAAAAACTCAAAGACAGTTGATCTCCTAGCTGACACACGTCCACCCTCCAACTGTTGGACTTCATGGCTCTAAACATCAAATTGTTCAAAAATTGTTGTGGCTGGTATATCAAACCAGACATTTGAAAACACCAGCTGCAGTGGCCAGAAAGCAATTTTTGTTTCTCAGGGGTGAGAACACACTAGCATTTTGCAACCTCATCTTTGGATTATAAATATTGCCAGCAAGAGAAAAAAAATGAGCGAACCAGATAGGACTGATGACTGAATATTTCTCAACATTGTGAAAATAAGCCAATAAAATAAAATGAATAAAGCACCCCTGTACAGAGCGTAGGCTTGTTTAAAGGCCAGTGAGTGATCATGATGG